GAGCGTCTCAGTGTCCATCAGTGGATCTGCTGTAATAATGTCTGGAGATTCAGTGACTCTGAGCTGCAGCAGCGACTCAAACCCTCCTGCACAAATCTTCTGGTATAAAGGAATAGAATATGTTGAATATGGAGGAATCTTCAACATCTCCAAGATCAGCTCTGATGACAGTGGAGAATACGAGTGTAGAGCCAGAAATGACCATGGAGATAAATACTCTGATCCTGTGACTTTAGATGTCCAGTGTGAGTTTATGATCATTTCAACAGTTCATTGTTTTAAAAAAAGCTTAATAAATAATAATTATAATATTAATCTATAATAAATTGTAAATTTGGTCTTTTTTTAGACCCCCCCAGAAACATCTCAGTGTCTATAAATGGATCTGCTGTAATAGTGTCTGGAGATTCAGTGGGTCTGATGTGCATCAGTGACTCAAACCCTCCCGCTCTGAGCTTCAGCTGGTTTAAGGAGAATCAAAGCTCAGCTGTTGGATCTGGACAGAGTTTCAGTGCAGTACAGAGTGGACGCTTCTACTGTGAGGCTCACAATCCACATGGAGCTCAGAGATCAGACGCCGTCACTGTCACTGTTAAAGGTAAAGCAGCTCATTTACTTACTCCTACAGTGAACATTTTCTGATGTTTTACCCTTTCGTCTGCTGTAGGACATTCGCTGATATTATACGCATCTATTGGAGTGGGTTGTGGAGCTGCAGTTGTCATTATGATGTTGCTCATTTGGTGAGATGTGTTCAGCATTAACTGTAGTCTAGTTGTCATGAAAACACTACCATAAATGTTGATTTTGTTGTAAGATTTTATTTTTGGAAATATTACAAGAATAACAACATACTCTATACTGATTTTTAACATATTCACTGTATTTAAAGCATGAGCAGGATGAAGAAGAGACATAATACAGAGCAGTCTCAGGTGAGAGAATCTGGAATTAGTAGTTTATTGATCAGGGAAGGTTAGTCATAAATAATAACATCTATGTAATTCTGAAATGTTCATAAGCACTGTTTTTTTTGTGTGTGTGTGTGTTTTTTTTTTAAAGCCAAGGATGAAACAAGTCCGACCACATGACAGAAGCAATTATTACTGCGATAATTTGACTGACTCTGTGTATGCAAATGTAAATGTAAGTTAATTTTAATTAGTTTTAAACCACTGATGTGCACTATAACAGTTATCATATATGTTTTTCTTTCATACTAAAGGTGAATATGAGACCTCATCATGACACATGTACAGACTCTGATGATGATTTCACTGACCCTGTGTATGGAAATACAATGGTAAGTTATTTTCAGTTTTCTAGCATTATGCTACCTAATTATTAGTTATTTTCCAGCTTTAATTACACTAATGAATCAGTCCAGAACTCAACATTACAGATGCAAAGCATATGATGCTGTGCACTGGCCCTGCTTATGAAAATGAAGTGATAAGTTACCGTTATAATTATGGCCCACTTCACAGAAACATACCAAGCGGCATTTTTAAATACACAGTCGATGTCCGCCACTATAAAAATACATATAATGAGCTCTGGTGGTCGAACAAAGTGTGTGGAAATTGCGAGTGGTTTCGCTTTCTCGATTTGAGTGCACTCGCCATGCGTATCTAAATTTAAAATAATGAACTTGAGCTGGTGATGATGTGTGATTATAGAAACTTTTATAAGAGGTTTAAATAGTTTTGCGGCAGCAGTGTGTGCATCTAATGATAAAAAACTAATAAATTGTATTGTTTTATAATCAGGCTTGATAGAATCAGTCTGCAGAACCACTTTGATTGACATTCTCCCTTTATACGTGTCATCAGAGGGTGAAAACCCAGCCCACTAGTGCAAATCTCTCCCTCATTAGCATAAACAGCAGCGCTGAGTGAGAAGCAGCCGTCTGTCCATTAGCCATTAGAGTGTTTGAGCTGCCATCTCTCTAGTTGGGGTGAGATGGCGGGGCGTTGGATGGCGGCGGGGTGGGGAGTCATGGTAGAAAGTGAAAGTGAACAGCGGACGGCAGAGGAGGCCGGTTGAGGAGGGGGATCAGTAAAATGAGGTGCCGGATCAGATTTCAGAGGTTCCTGATCTGGTATGTTCCAGCACAAATTAAGCCCTGGTTACGACCCTGGTCTAGGTTAAAGGCCGCAGCATAAAAGAACACAAGACAAATGCGCTTATTAAGTGGTGACGTGTTGGCAGGGCTGGAGCAAGCTGTACTGCCGCTCTAGGCAGAGGACGATCATGCCGCCCTCAACCCCAATGTGAAAACGAAAGTGACCGGTCATGAAAATGAAGTGAGGTGTCGCGGACCTCTTTTCCAGAGCACTATGCGTGGATATAACTGAGGACGTGCGGGTGCTGAGGGAGGGAGGTGTCGCGGACACTACACTCTCTTTTCTGCCGCCCTATGCGCAGATATAACTGAGGACGTGCGGGTGCTGAGGGAGGGAGGTGTCGCGGACACTGCGCTCTCTATTCTCCCGCCCTATGCGCAGATATAACTGAGGACGCGCGGGTGCTGAGGGAGGGAGGTGTCGCGGACACTGCGCTCTCTATTCTGCCGCCCTATGCGCAGATATAACTGAGGACGTGCGGGTGCTGAGGGAGGGAGGTGTCGCGGACACTGCGCTCTCTATTCTCCCGCCCTATGCGCAGATATAACTGAGGACGCGCGGGTGCTGAGGGAGGGAGGTGTCGCGGACACTGCGCTCTCTATTCTGCCGCCCTATGCGCGGATATGACTGAGGACGTGCGGGTGTCGCGGACCTCAATTCTGCCGCCCTATGCGCGGATATAACTGAGGACGCGCGGGTGTCGCGGACCTCAATTCTGCCGCCCTATGCGCAGATATAACTGAGGACGCCCGGGTGTCGCGGACCTCAATTCTGCTGCCCTATGCGCGGATATAACTGAGGACACGCGGGTGCTGATGGAGGTGTCGCTGACGCCGCCCTCTCTATTCAGTCGTCTATGCGCGAATATATTTGAGGACGCGGGTGGTGAGGGAGGTGTCGGGGACATAACTGAGGACGCGGGTGGTAAGGGAGGTGTCGCGGATGCCGCCCTCTCTATACTGTCACCCTAAGCGGCCGCCTAGGTCGCCTCTATGGGCGCGCCGGCCCTGCGTGTTTGTGACGTATGTAATACTGTTTCCGGGTTTTCCAAGCCGCCACTCATTTGAATTGAGAAATTATTCATTTTCATTTTCAACTTTTTATTCTTATCACAAAGTAAAGTTAATTTTAAATAAAGTCATAGTGTACACAACAAGCTCTGGGCTTGCTGCATAACAAATACCAAAATTTTAACAATTTATAAAAAATTAATCACTTTCTGGTCATCGGATATTAGGCATGATATATATATATTTTTTTTAAGCCACCTACCTACACCCAAATCAAACTAACCTCACTTAACAAAATAACAGAAATAAAAACACAAAATCTACCCCTACCTTTCTGACCATGTATAAAAACAGGAGAAAATATTTACATCCAACCCCTGGCATCCAACCCCTACTGCTTACCATGTACAGAAATCAATATTTACAATATCCGCAAACAAACCAAAAAACAAAATAACAAGAGGGGAAAACACGGATAGATATAAAAAAAGAGTCAAAATGTACACACCAACATGGGAAACACAATCAAATTCAACATTTAGCAACATAATAGTTTGTTTAGCACGCCATACGCAAAACAACATGCCAGCCAACTCGCTCTCCCGCCCCACGCCCGTTTTCTCTTTAAGGACGCACTGGGTCACTCCAGCCCATAGATATATACATAATATGTCGCCTGGCCTATTGTTGTCTATTGGACGAAATGCGTCAATAGCGCCGCCATCTTGCTACAGGGTAGCGCTCCTTTGAAATGATTGCGAGACCAAGGTACAGTGGAGGACTGTGGCCATCCAAAGCCAGAGATATACACATATATCTATGATCGGGAGTTTTCCTGGATGTTAGTATGTACTTTCTTTTTTTTAATTACGAAAATTATAATTTTACATCACTTTTCTACATTATGGATCAGTGACCGCACGGGCATCCCTGACAAAAAGCTTGTGTTTGTGTGTACAGAAATGTACTATTCACCCTCCCTGTTAAATTTGATCTAATCATGTCCTGAAACACAGCTCCTCTCCTGCTTTCACTTCTCATACTGACGGAGGGAGCGATTTGTGAATGAATCCCCCGAACGACTCTTTCACTAACGTTAGCCGACAATAACACAAGTTTCTGGCACCGCAGCGTCTCGTTGTCATATTTCTTTTGCATTGTTTGCTGATTTTATTCAACAAAACTAGCATAAGCCGAGTGTTTAGTGTGAGTTGGAGCTGCTTTGCCTTATGGTGAATGCAGTAAGTGGCTGTCATCATCAATAACGTTACCTGATTAGCACAAAAGTTCAGAACATTCAAAAACAGAAAAAAACGTAATATTACCTATGAAATGTTCTGCCTTTGTGCTTTGTTTTCTTTGTTTGCTCGTTACTACACCCGTAGACAGCGCTAAAGTCCCGCATCTTCACGCAATAACACTGTCTTGACTAGTGCGGTTGAGTGACATTTGTCCTGGGAGCACTGTACCAATGTGGCCGCACTATTGACGCATGCTCAGGGTCCCTATGCGATATCTAGTGTATATATCTATGACTGCAGCCAATTCCAGGGCACGTCGCTTGCGTAATTAGGGCGGGGCCTGCAGATGTAAAGAGAGGGAGAGAGACAGACACACACACCTGCCAACGCAACAATACCACTATAATTATTGTACTTTGGACGCCAGTGTATTTACCATCACCATCTATCGTGTGGTCACTAATATGCTTATTATTATAGAAATTGTTAACTCTGGTTTTTGCTATGCCAACATGGACTAGTGTGGTCACTTAATAATACATTAGTTTGAACACCAATATAGTTGTTGCTGACACTGATATAATTATCCTTATGTTATGTTGTCCTTTTCTCTCTCTCTGCAGATCTCTGAATATTCTTCTTATTAGCAGGAGTGTCGTTTACTTGTTGAATGAAGCAGCAGATGTAAAACAGCAGAGAGTCAGGCTTTTCCCCAGACAACATGTGGTTTAACTGTTTAAGTCTGTCGTGTCTTTGTAAATACATTAACATTAGTGTGTGAAACTGCTAGCTGCATGTGGAGTGTCAGATTTATCCGGTTTTACCACTTTACCACGTTTTTATTAGTCAGGAGAGAGGTAAGATAACTGTGTTTAATCACATATTTCTTTTGTTATTTGAATTCTTTCAGATACATCTTGTTTAGTCATTTTAGCATCTCTATATCTGATGATTTGGTTTATTTGAAAATCTGTTATTATATGCTGTGTAATTTCTTGAATAAAATGCTTAAAGTATTTCTGGTATTTGGTTTCTTTTTCTTATCCAGAGGGCTGATTAACTTTACATCCACCCCAAATATCTAAAAAAATCTCAAAAATGTGTTTGTTTATCATAATTTGCAAAGCTGTAACTGTAATTTTGCTATTGTTTACTATGTTCTGTATTTCAGTACTAATCATTGATAAACAGCAGTATGTTCAGAGATTGGCACAGCATATAGGCTACGTACAAAACCACTTCTCTACACTAATTATGCTGATTAAACGGGTATAAAAACAATGTGAACCTGTTCAAGAGAAAATATTATACTTTTCTGGTCTGTTTGCGCCACCTGCTGGTCACCTTGTTATAATGCTGTATAATTGTCTTCCTTTCTAAAATGAAAGTGATTCAAAAACCAAAATAGACATAAAATAATCCACATGACAAGTAAATTATAGTGATCTAAATCTATACTATCAGACATTATAAGCGAAATCGTTTGTCAATAATGTATTGATTAATATTATGTCTCAAAATCGTCGCGTTTTCATCTTCCTCTCAGCGCGACGCGGTCACGTGACTCCTGGGCAGTTGCGGTTGACGTCAACGACCGAAGGCGCCATTTTTAAATGGAACGTCAACATTAGTTTTGGTTTGTTTATATTTCTAAGATCGCGATTGGTTTTCCCTGGCTCCAGAGGTCGTGAATGAACCAGTATTTCATGTTCAGGAGTTCAGGTAAAGACATTAAAGGGTTTGTTTCACTACACAGTGGGACACTAATACTGTTATAATATCCTGGTTGTACAACACTGGTATTTAGGAACAATAACAGCACAGATATTTTACATATTTTTTGTTATTGTTTCTTAAAGTAGAATATTTTGTTTCACGTACCTGCAAAATATCAGCCATTAATTAGGATACTTGCTAAATGTATAACTTATAAGTGTTTTAAATGTCAAATGTAGACCTATAAGCATCCAGATGTGTTTTTGCTTCAATATGAACAGATAACGTTTGTTTTAACTATGTTTGGCTGTTTGGTGTTTTATGTTTGGCCTGTTGGTTTGTGTGACTGATGTTTTGTGCTTTAGAAATTCTGTAAAGGGATCATAATGAGCATCGATGCTCCATTTTATTGTGGGAATATTCAGAAGTCTTAGCATTTGCTCTAGAAAGAAATTGTGATGGAGGCAGTACTTAAAATAGCAGAATTCCTCATCAGTGTCCTGACTACTGACCCCATATCCTCACACTTTGCATTTAAAGCAGTCGCTGTGTTGTTGTTTTAGTTTATGTAACTGCTAGCTGACTTGTACAATATGCCTTTGACCTACTAGAGTGTGTTACAATGCTGTGTTTGGACTGTACAGAGAGGTAAGTAACTGTTTCTGAATACTTGTGCTCACACACAAAATTTGTATAATGGTTGAAACAATAATAACCCTGCTGAAAAATCCAGCTTAAACCAGCCTAGGCTGGTTGGCTGGTTTTAGCTGGTCGACCAGGTTGGTTTCAGAGGGGTTTTGGCCATTTCCAGGCTGGTTTCCAGCCATTTCCAGTCTGGTCTTAGCTGGTCAGGCTGGAAAATGACCAGCCAAATCCAGCTAAATCCAGCTTGACCAGCCTGGTTTAAGCTGGATATAGCTGGTTTTGGCTGGACTCCCAGCTTGGCTAGGCTGGTCAAGCTGGTTTTAGCTGGTCATCTCCCAGCCTGACCAGCTAAGACCAGGCTGGAAATGGCTGGAAACCAGCCTGGAAGTGGCCAAAACCCCTCTCAAACCAGCCTGGTTGACCAGCTAAAACCAGCCAACCAGCTTTGGCTGGTTTAAGCTGGATTTTTCAGCAGGGAATAATAATAAAAATAACTTAATACCCAAATATACTCTTGAATCATTTTATTAAAGGTTTAACAAAACCAGAAATTATAAAGCAAATAATTACAAACCTTCAAAGGAATTGTCAGGAGAGGGTGGGGCCAAAATATTAAACAAAATCAGATTTACCAAAAAACAATTCAAATAACAGACATTTCCTAACACAAGATATGAATATGAAATGAAATCCAATTATCTCACTTCTCAACCTGACAAAAATAGAAAAGAGTAAAACCTAAATAATCTGGCGCTGCTTATGTGGTTATCTGTTCTAGCTATCTAACAAACACTCATGTTAACATATTTACAAAGACACAACAGACTCACAGCTTAAAACTCAACAACAGTTAAACCACATGTTGCATGGGCAAGCAAAAGTGGGACTATCTGCTTCTCTGTTGCTTCATTCAACAGTGAACAGCACTCCTAATGAGATCTGCTTCAGAGATCTGCAGAGAGAGAGAGAGAGAAAGTAGAGCATAACACTATTAAACATTATATGAGACAACATAACAACCCATCATTACTATTATAACAAAAGCATCTTATAATATAGAACTACAAATTCACTCTCTATCAGAAATGAAGAGCAGTCTCATGTTTATGTACATTTTTTTAATAGATTAGCATCAACATTGTCTGAGCCTCTTTTGTAATGCATGTCAAAGATAATACAAGTCAACATTAATGGACAAAGCAACGTCTCCAGCACATTGTAAAATATCGCAAAACCCTACACACTCGACTACATTTCTCTGCTTGATATTTATGGCCGTTTCCACTGTCAAAAGGCGTACCGAACCAAACCGTACCGTATCACTTTTTCGGGACCCTTTCGAAAGGGTCCCAAACTGCAGAAAGGGTCCCAAAAGGTGGAGCTACACGCGCAGCTGAACGCTATTGGTTTACAGAGATACGTCATTCGTAGACGCAACAAGCCAGCCATACGTTTGCGTCTGGAAGCTAACATGAATTATTGCTATTATTTATTAAATTTCTCATTTGTTGAATTTTATTAACGTCTACCCCTACCCCAACCCTAAACCCAACCGTCACAGTAATGTAAAAACTGTAGTTGTACAGAGTATTAGTTATGTTATCTATTAAATTACCCAATAAAATTTATTTTTTAACGCCTACCCCCACCCCAACCCTAAACCCAACCCTCACAGTACTGTAAAAATATTAATTATTGTTACACAGCGTAAAAAAAAAATGCTGCTTTATTAATGTGCATATTGCACTTCCGGCCGGCCGCATATCCGATCTAGACTTTACTGCCAGAATGTAAACAAAGGACCCGCCATGTTTGAAAAACACAGCGAGAGATTACTGCGGAATTATATATACATATGCAGCCATGGTCGATCCTGCAAACAAACCCTGTCGTTGTCATGATAAACAGCCACAAAGCCATGGAGAAGAGCGGATTTACCCTGTGCCGCGTAATTTTTTACGAGCCAGTCTGAAGCCCGAGTGGTTTCGCTTTCTTCCTTAAACTCCCCGCTCGTCTCTATCTAAAATAACAAACTTCTTGATCTGATAATAATAACATGCACTTGATTATTGACAAACTTTTGGAAACCCGATCCTGTGAGAAGCTGACAAACGAGAGTGACACATTCAGAAAGAAAAGGACAAACGCGAGAGTGGAGCGCGGAAATAAAGGCAAAGCCTTGTTTTAATCTTTATTAACACCTTTTGGACTAATATGAACTGGGAATGATGGAGTGACTCTCTAACAGAGGCTTCATGTGCTGCTGAAGATTACAGACACAGATGAGAGGTTTTCACTGACTGTAGGCTATACTTTGTGTTGTTTTGAACTTAATTAACGACGAAATGTCTGCTTTGTGTAGTTCTTCTGTAGTTGGTAACATATCGGAGACTATAAGGGTCTGTATGTGTTCATATATGTTCATTTATTTATCTAATATAATTAGAGACGTTACAGTAGGCTATTTTGCACCGTCATTGATCTGCAGTTATAATCAACTCCTGTTTATAGAAAAGTTAGTAATGAACATTTATACACAAGTATTTATGTGTGTAAAGCATCTGTTTTGTGAGAAGTGCTTTTCATATATGTGATCAACCTGTGCAGTTTTATTGTAGACATTTTCGAGCGAAAATGACGTTGACTGAAACTTTGTCATACACCACGCCCACCTAAAGGGTACCCTTGGTAGTGGTAGTAACGCAAGCCTGATAAAGGTGACCCGTACTGACCCGAACCGTACCGTACTATACCAGTCAGTGGAAACGAGCCATTACTGCCAGTTTATCAGGAAGTTATGATATTGCTCCATTTGTCTATTGAATGGATATGCTGCTTTATTTACAAATGTTTTGTGCAATATTCCAGTTTTGCAGATATCTAATTCACATCTTTGGATGGAAGCATAGCTGTGAATGTGAAATGCTAATATCAGCTTTGACAGGCTTCACCATCACCTCGATAATCAACCTTTTTCTTTGGTGAACTCACACTTGCCAAGTTTAAAGTTAATAATAAGGCATCAGCCAAATTATTAAAAACATTCGTAGCAACTTACCTCTACATTTTCATACACAGGGTCAGTCATATCATCACCACTGTCATGATGAGGTCTTGAAGGATTTGTCTTTAGCATGGGATAAAAGAAAATATAGTTAAAAATTAGAGTAGACGTTTCGGTTCAGTTACGGTAATCATGCTGTCGATTTGGTTCAAGTCGATATCACGTTGCATTAAAGACCCTTTCCATACACAATTTTATATTTTACTTCACTGCGCAGCAATTCTTCTATTAAAAAGTACAAATATATTTGAGCAATTCCATGAAAATGTCAACCTTGCCATGAAAAGAAAAATGTTTTCACCAAAATAGCGAAACCGTTTCTACATTTTTTGCGCAGGCAAGTGTTTTACAGTACTTTAAAAATACTTAAAAATGTCTCTGTCAATGTTTTCAAACTATTATATTTGATTTACCAAAGTCAAACAAATGGCAATTTCACATCCGTCACATCCATAACGAAAAAGTGTCACATCCATAACAAAGCTTTTCCCTCAAAAATGCAAAAATGTCAAAATAAAATTAAATCAATCAGTTTTGTTCTATAAAGAGCCAACTCTTATCCTTTTGTTGAGCATTATTTGTTTTGGGTTGTGCAGTTTAATTCACAGAATTTCTAAGAAAAATGTTGTATACTGTAAACTTGCAGACTTTTTTTGTCACATCCATAACGCTTGTTTATTTTCCTCATTTAAAGTATAAAAATGTTCACAGATTTAAGTTTTTTTGATCCCATAACTCTGTGGTTAGTTGTTTTGGAAACATAAACAGATTATTCAATATAATGTTAACGTATACTTTCTCTGCGAATTTATGTTTTGAATTTTTACTGCAAATGTCACATCCATAACGCTGGAATCAGCCATTTATATTCTATTTGTAATACAATTTTGTCCTTTAAAACAGTCAGATTTATGATTTGAAAAGCCCGAGTACGTGCACAGAACAACATGAGCATTTATAGCAAATAAACAAATATAAATAAACCGATATCGAATTGTCCTCGCCTGCATCGCAGTGCACTGAAGAAACAATTCATTTTGACACGCCGAGCAAAAACAAACACAAAATAGTGCACACTATGATAATAATTAATACCTTACCTTTACATTTTCATACACAGGGTCAGTAAACTTGTTGCTACTTTCATGATGAAGTCTGGATTGATTCTTCTTTGCCATTAATGGAAAATACATCATACACAAAATTAACCAGCGCAAACAGAAACATTCAGTTTAAGAGAGATCTGGATCGATATCCTGATCACAAAATGTGTTTTCCTCACCTGAAGCTCCACTGTATCATTCCTCTTCTGCATCCTGATTTTCCTTAAAAACAATGAACGTTACATTACAGTGTAGAGTGTTCTGCTGAAAATATTGAACTTTTCCTTGTGTAGTTTTAATTATAAAATAGAGGAAAACAACAATACTTTAGTGTTGTTACCAGGACAAGCCTGTTAAATGCTGAACACATCTTACCAAATCAGCAACATCATAATGACAACCGCAGCTCCACAACCCACTCCAATAGATATGTGTAATATCAGCGGACGTCCTACAGCAGACGAAAGAGTAAAACATCAGAAAATGCTCACTTAAGGCAGGGGTTCCCAAACTTTTCAGCACGCGACCCCTAAAATAACAATACCAGTGACTCGCGACCCCTAAAATAACAATACCAGTGACTCGCGACCCCTAAAATAACAATACCAGTGACTCGCGACCCCCAATATCCCCTGAAGTGGTTAAAAATACAGAAAACTTGCATGCATTGGCGCGCGCACACACCAATAGACCAAAGTCTATTCTTCGTTTATTTTTTTTTTTATGTATTTCAGTGCTGTAAATAGGCCAGAAAGTTTAACCTGGTGTTATAAAATCAATCTGCTGCATCTGACGCTATTGCTTTGTCTTTAATTTTGTTTAATTTTGTTTAAATTTTTGTTTGTTTTGTTTGTTTTTTGTTTTAATTTTGTTTAATTTTGTGTTTATTTTTTTTATGTATTTCAGTGCTTTAAATAGGCCAGAAAGTTTAACCTGGTGTTATAAAATCGATCTGCTGCATCTGACGCTATTGCTTTGTCTTTAATTTTGTTTAAATTTTTGTTTGTTTTGTTTGTTTTTTGTTTTAATTTTGTTTAATTTTGTGTTTATTTTTTTTATGTATTTCAGTGCTTTAAATAGGCCAGAAAGTTTAACCTGGTGTTATAAAATCGATCTGCTGCATCTGACGCTATTGCTTTGTCTTTAATTTTGTTTAAATTTTTGTTTGTTTTGTTTGTTTTTTGTTTTAATTTTGTTTAATTTTGTGTTTATTTTTTTTATGTATTTCAGTGCTTTAAATAGGCCAGAAAGTTTAACCTGGTGTTATAAAATCGATCTGCTGCATCTGACGCTATTGCTTTGTCTTTAATATTATGTATTTACCCCAGGGGTCTCAATCCAATAGAACAAGTAAATAAGCTATTATGGTAACTATAAACGACTGTTTTTTTCTCTTCAGTTGCTTATGGATAAAATATGGTAATTCTTATGGTCTAATAATAACAAGTAGATTTTTGGAAATCACCAGGCGACCCCCCCATCATTTTTCCGCGACCCCCACTTTGAGAACCACTGACTTAAGGAGTAAGTGCATGATCTGCTTTACCTTTAACAGTGACAGTGACGGCGTCTGATCTCTGAGCTCCATGTGGATTGTGAGCCTCACAGTAGAAGCGTCCACTCTGTACTGCACTGAAACTCTGTCCAGATCCAACAGCTGAGCTTTGATTCTCCTTAAACCAGCTGAAGTTCAGAGCAGGAGGGTTTGAGTCACTGATGCACATCAGACTCACTGAATCTCCAGACATTATTACAGCAGATCCATTTATAGACACTGAGACGTTCCTGGGGGGGTCTGAAAAAAGAACAAATCTACAATTTATTATAGATAATTTTATTGATAAATACAATGATGTTTATTATAATAATGAAGTATAAAAAGCATCATAAACTCACACTGGACATCTAAAGTGACAGGATAAGAGTATTTCCCTCCATGGTCATTTCTGGTTTTACACTTGTATTCTCCACTGTCATCAGAGCTGATCTTGGAGATGTTGAAGATTCTTTCAGATCCAATATATGTTTTTCCTTTAAACCAGTGTATTTCTGCAGGAGGGTTTGAGTCACTGCTGCAGCTCAGAGTCACTGAATCTCCAGACATTATTACAGCAGATCCACTGATGGACACTGAGACGCTCTTTGGAGGATCTAAAATGAACAAAACCAAATCTTAATGAGTTCATCTAACAGAATCTTCAGTAGAAAACTAAATATCTATTAATCTGTACTTACAGGTGACATTGAGATAGACCTCAGGTGATGTGAGTGTGTGTCCATGTACAGCACATCTATATCTGCCTGCATCTTCTCTTCTGACTGGATTGAGGATGAGTTTGTCTCCAATAGTTCCTTCAGTCAATGTGTGTGAGTTTCTGTACCAGATGAATGTTGGTGTGTCAGTCAGTTCACAGCTGCTTCTACATGTCAGACGGACTGAATCTCCCTCTTTCACTCTCTCAGGAGACTCCAGCTGAATATCTGAACACAACACACACATTATATCTAGTGCTGCTCTCATACACTGATTATTATTCTACATAATGACCACAAGAAGAGAGAAACCTCAGGAGAGTCACCTGGGATGTTAAGAGTCACACCTGGACTACCAAGCCATCTTCCTTCTATTTTATCTGTATTAAATCTGAAGTAATACTTGTGTTCATCTTTCTCTGTCACATGACTCAGTCTGACGGTGCAGTTCTGCTGTTCATCTCCCAGATACTGAAGCCTCTGACTGTATTCAGGGTCTACAGAGAGATCTGTAGGCTCTACCGCTTTTACAGGGTCTTTAGTCCAGTACGCTTTCCTGATCTGATGTCCAGTAGGGTATGTATAAGTGCAGCTCATGATCACTGATGAGTCTTTTAGTGCACAGATGTGTGGAAAACTGTAATTCACAGCCCAATCAGCAGCAGAAACCCCTGAGACAGAAAAAAAAAATCAAGAGTGTCGAGATGAAGAAGATAAAGTTTGCAAAACCTCTCGATAGTTTCTGAAGTATTGCAGTGACTCACTGTGAATCATGTGCAGGAAGATCAGAGAAAGGGGGCGAGCCATTTTGACAGACATGGCAACACCTATAACACAACGACAGTGGCTTATTGCAGCGTTTTTTAGACCCCTAATAACACCCCTCCCCCTTTTCATTTAAATTTGTTTTATTGTAATATTAGATGACCAAAGCTTGTAAACATATATTTACCAATCCAAATGAAGGATGAAGAACTCAGAAGAAACCCTGTGGTTCAGCGCTTCCTTTTTGAACTTCCTTTCTCTGCACAGAGCAACTTAAACCTGTCACCATAGATAGATAGATAGATAGATAGAAAATAAAAATCCACACAGTTATGCTGTAAATTATTGACCTTATTCTTTCACGCTTGAGCAGGCCCAGCCATTATAACCTAATTCTCAAGGCTTTCGTTCTCATTGACTTATTTTTGGATGTAAAAAAAAAAAAAAAACACCAGTTCATTATGTTGCAAAATAATAGCATATTTTATTATATTATTTTTATCCTTAGGTATGGTCTTCAACACAACTGTAGAGCAAGTACTTTGAGTGTTTACTACCATCTGTTTTCAAATCCAATCTGAATTCCATTTCAAGCAATTTTCCCTTTCGTCAAATATTGTCAAAATGATTTAATACAGTTGTTGTTTTTTTGCTATTTGTGTACCTTTTAAATACTTAAAAAGACACATTTTCAGTATTAAAAAGATAGAGTTCATCAAAAACTTGTTAACATGCCATGTGATACCTAACAAATGGCAGAACAATTCTTGAATATCATCTAGGAAGCAGAATTTAATACATCTACTGAGCGAATAGTAGACGATGCTCTTACCTTATTCACCAACACTGCAAGTGAGCAAAATGAAGGCAGCTCTGAATTTTTACTCGGAACATTTCTGTGGTCAACACCTTTTACACGTGGTCTATGTGTCATGTGTGCTAAAGATAATACAAGTCAACATTAATGGACGAAGCAGCATTTCCAGCACATTGTAAAATATCTGAAATGTTGTTTTGCTGATTGTACAAGGCCTCAGCCGTCAGTCTGTCATCACAGAGCTTCAGTATTAATATTTATTATATTAGTTTATTATGACCTCCAGAACGGTCTTGAGCATCTGTCTGCGCTCCCAAAGAGCGTGTAACCCCTCTAAAAGCCACCACGTTCATTGCGGTCCGTCTTCTAAGGTATAACTCACTTATTAGAGTTACAGTGACTTCTCCCAACACACTCGACTACATTTCTCTGCGTGATGTTTAGTGCCTGTTTATCAGGAAGTAATGTTCTTGTTCTCTATTGAATGGAAATCTCACACCTGGGCTACCAAGCCATCTTCCTTCTATTTTATCTGTATTAAATCTGAAGTAATACTTGTGTTCATCTTTCTCTGTCACATGACTCAGTCTGACGGTGCAGTTCTGCTGTTCATCTCCCAGATACTGAAGCCTCTGACTGTATTCAGGGTCTACAGAGAGATCTGTAGGCTCTACCGCTTTTACAGGGTCTTTAGTCCAGTACGCTTTCATGATCTGATGTCCAGTAGGGTATGTATAAGTGCAGCTCATGATCACTGATGAGTCTTTTAGTGCACAGATGTGTGGAAAACTGTAATTCACAGCCCAATCAGCAGCAGAAACCCCTGAGACAGAAAAAAAATCAAGAATGTCGAGATGAAGAAGATAAAGTTTGCAAAACCTCTCAATAGTTTCTGAAGTATTGCAGTGACTCACTGTGAATCATGTGCAGGAAGATCAGAGAAAGGGGGCGAGCCATTTTGACAGACATGGCAACACCTATAACACAACGACAGTGGCTTATTGCAGCATTTTATTAGCCTAACACCCCTCCCCCTTTTCATTTAAATTAGTTGTATTGTAATATTAGATGACCAAAGCTTGTAAACATTTATTTACCAATCCAAATGAAGGATAAAGAACTCAGAAGAAACCCTGTGGTTCAGCGCTTCCTTTTTGAACTTCCTTTCTCTGCACAGAGCAACTTAAACCTGTCACCATAGATAGATAGATAGATAGATATATAGATCAAATTATATATAGATGGATGGATGGATGGATGGATGGATGGATGGATGGATGGATGGATGGATGGATGGATGGATGGATAGATAGATAGATAGATAGATAGATAGATAGATCAAATTATATATAGATGGATGGATGGACGGACGGACGGACGGACAGATAGATAGATAGATCAAATTATAGATAGATAGATAGATAGATAGATAGATAGATAGATAGATAGATAGATAGATAGATAGATATGCTGTAAATTATTGACCTTATTCTTTCACGCTTGAGCAGGCTTAGCCATTATAACCTAATTCTCAAAACTTTCGTTCTCATTGACTTATTTTTGGATGTAAAAAAAAACACACCAGTTCATTATGTTGCAAAATAATAGCATATTTTATTATATTATTTTTATCCTTAGGTATGGTCTTCAACACAACTGTAGAGCAAGTACTTTGAGTGTTTACTACCATCTGTTTTCAAATCCAATCTGAATTCCATTTCAAGCAATTTTCCCTTTCGTCAAATATTGTCAAAATGATTAAATACAGTTGTTGTTTTTTTGCTATTTGTGTACCTTTTAAATACTTAAAAAGACACATTTTCAGTATTAAAAAGATAGAGTTCATCAAAAACTTGTTAACATGCCATGTGATACCTAACAAATGGCAGAACAATTCTTGAATATCATCTAGGAAGCAGAATTTAATACATCTACTGAGCGAATAGTAGACGATGCTCTTACCTTATTCACCAACACTGCAAGTGAGCAAAATGAAGGCAGCTCTGAATTTTTACTCTGAACATTTCTGTGGTCAACACCTTTTACACGTGGTCTATGTGTCATGTGTGCTAAAGATAATACAAGTCAACATTAATGGACGAAGCAACATTTCTAGCACATTGTAAAATATCTGAAATGTTGTTTTGCTGATTGTACAAGGCCTCAGCCGTCAGTCTGTCATCACAGAGCTTCAGTATTAATATTTATTATATTAGTTTATTATGACCTCCAGAACTGTCTTGAGCATCTGTCTGCGCTCCCAAAGAGCGTGTAACCCCTCTAAAAGCCACCACGTTCATTGCGGTCCGTCTTCTAAGGCATAACTCACTTATTAGAGTTACAGTGACTTCTCCCAACACACTCGACTACATTTCTCTGCGTGATGTTTAGTGCCTGTTTATCAGGAAGTAATGTTCTTGTTCTCTATTGAATGCAAATGCTGCTTTATTCACAAATGTTCTATGCCAGTGGTTCTCAAACTGGTACATGCAGGGCCGGCGCGTCCATAGAGGCGACCTAGGCGGCCGCTTAGGGCGGCAGTATAGAGAGGGCGCAACACCCCCGTTACCACCCGCGTCCTCGGTTATGTCCGCGACACCTCCCTCACCCCCCGCGTCCTCAGATATATTCGCGCATAGGCGACAGCAGGGTTCAACGCTAAGGATTTTTTCTACTGGTCTGATCGGGCCAGTGGTTCAGATTTTCACTTGCCCTGCCAAACTTTTCACTGGCTCCACCAAAAAAAGAAAGGGAAGTTAATAGCTATTTTTTAGATACATATTTTAAATAATGTGTCAAAAATAAAGTCTCTGAATCTAGAATTTTAATACTTAAAAAAAATTGTAAATAAAAGTGTTATGCAAACAAAAAGAGCAGTATGGAAAATGTGGAGGTATTTTATTGCGGTTTGAAATTATTTAACAAAGGGTGGCTGACTAGTCAAACTGACGGCAAACTGTGTTTTTTTTTTTGTCATGTTGTTCACACGTAAATTTCTGCTTTCAAGACGTTAGAAACAGATATTTTCTTTTAGCCTTAGAATTTGATGTTGCCATTTCTTCGGTGTACTGGTTGTTACCAGGTTATGGAAAAAAAATATCATTCTCAATCAGATAAGAGGAACTGGAAAGCAATACAGTGTTTACGACATCACAGAGAAGGTAGTGTTCAAAGACTTAAAAGCAAGAACTTAAAATGCAAGCAATTGATAAATAGTCACAGACAAACTAAATGTTAGTGACAAGGCAGCACTGTCCCAATCAGGCCAGTCTACTGTCCCAAGTGTCTGTCACGCTGGCCCTGGGCCACCGGGCAGTCCTTATTGTTGAGCCCTGGACAGAATAGAGAGGGCAGCGACTCCTCCATCAGCACCCGCGTGTCCTCACATAAATCCGTGCGTAGGGCGGCAGATTAGATGTCCGCGACACCCGCGCGTCCTTAGTTATTTCGCGCATAGGGCGGCAGAATAGAGGTCCACGACACCTCACTTCATTTTCATAACCGGTCACTTTTGTTTTCACATTGGGGTTGAGGCCGGCGTGATCGTCCTTTGCCTAGAGCGGCGGTTCAGCTTGCTCCGGCCCTGGGTAGATGAATCACAAGTGGTAAGCAGACTTCCTTCTAGTGGTACGCGGAGTAGTCGCTGAATAATTCAAGTAAAAAAAATTAATACACTTTTAACCGTTTGGCGCATATGATAACAACAATGTGATCAGTAAATTTGATTTTAATAGGCTA